TCTCTCTCTCTCTCTCACTCACTCTCTTACCCACCCTCCATTCCGTCTTCCCATGTAACCCCTATCCCACACACGCAGTACCGATGTGCGCGTCCCCCAACACTTGACACTCTATGTGCTGACGTCACGGCCACCAACAAGTGCACCGATACGTGGACACAGCTGACCCACGAGGGCCTGCACCTGGCAAATAAACAGCTCGGACACACACAAAAAAGCAACGGAAAAATAAAGTTTTTGTGTGTCATACAAATTATACGTGTATTTAATGATACACCATAAGTGTAAAGTCAGCATCGTCTCTCCTTCATTTAAATGAATTTCTTGGTAAGAGTTTTACGGTACTCGCAACATAAGCAGGCCACATAAGTGCCAAAGAGTAGGGGATTTATTATATTAGAAGGTATATTCTAAAAAAGGAGGCGGAAAAATAAGGACAATAGATGTTTGCATGAACCGCTCGTTGGAGCACAAAAAACCAGAGTACCGGTCAACCAATAACCTCATTCCCACCCCTTTTACTCCCACGCCCAAATCTTTACTCACGCGCATCACGACAATTACCGACCGAAACAAAGTCAATGTGTAATAATACACAACATTCAAAGCTCACCTACACAGCTCTCTGTATCCTACAATATCTGCACTTATGGCATGCCAAAGTTGCACCATCACGCTCAGCGATCTCCGGTATTCCAAATTCGCGGAGTATTCCAACATCGCAGCTCAAGACAAAAGCCTGGCATTACTTTATAGCTGCTGCTGAAGCTGGAGATCCCGGCGGTCTGTGATCAACACTCTTGAACCTCCTGCTATTCCAGGATACAACGGTTACAACTACTAGAGCTCTTAATCCGCGTGCATGCCAGGAATTAAGCGCGTAACCTCCTAAAGCAATTCCAATCCGGACTACAAACGTAACCATGAGGGGGGCGTTATCCGTGTAGATTTGTCTGAAGTTACACTACGCCCTACGACCTACGTCCTTCGTCCTTCATCGTGATTTGAACTCACGTGACCCAGATTGTTGTTGTGCTTACGTCACAGGCCCGGGACCTGGTGGGGTTTGCTGGAGTAAGCCGATTGTTTTTACAGAGAAGAATTCTGGTTTGTGAGGTTGTGGGTGTGTTCTTCTTTTTGAGAGGAAATTCTGAGATAACTCTCAGGAGTCAACCCATTTTGGGTTGTTTTTATTCTTTATTGAGATTGTTACGGTACTTGCAACAATAATAGGTCGTATAAAATTAAACGCTGAAGATTGGAGGTGTTACCAATGAGTGATAAATAAAAAAGGGGGCGAAATAAGGAAAATATAATGTTTCATTAGAAAGAAGGAGCAAACCACACCAGAGCACCAGCCAACCATCAATAACGAGACTGTATAAAATTAGGTTGCTATATACATCATTATCGTTGATGAATTAAATATTAATACCAAAAAAAGAAACAAAATTTCCCGAAACGCCCGATCTGATTTAGTCTGTCAGATAAGATCTATTTGACCAGTGGACATTCCTAGTTAGACCGGAGACGTCCTTTCTTCACATCCATTCCCGAAGACACGTTGGTTTTAATCCAGGATCACTCTTCAGCACACCTGGCTGGGCTTACTGGTCATTTCTCGATAGTGGACGTGGGAAAATTTGATGCAGATGGGGTTACGATAGTAGGCACATCATTTAATTTTCCTCTTTCGTTTTAGTAAGTGTTTTGCGGCTCTTGCAACACAATAAGGCCATATAAATGACGAAGATTAGAGGTGTTACAAAAGAGTAACAAACACAAAAAAGAGGGGAGATAAAGACGATTGACTGACGGTGATAGGAAAGAGAAGCAAACCACAACAGAGTACTAGCCAACCACCCACTAATTTTCTTCAGCTTATCTTAAACGTTGGTTTGTCTTTTTTATCGTAATAGTTTCATCGACGCTATAAACATTTCTTGCCTGCGATATTAATCGGTACAGTTTTTGGAGCTTCACATTCGATTAAAGAAATTGACAAAACAGCAAGAACATAGAAATAATTTGTTTGTATGAGCTAAGAAAAGCGTATCCATGCAATACATTCCATAAATAATCATTGCAAGAAAGAGTATGACGGACAGAGTGAAAGAAAAGAAAATAACACAAAGAAGCCACATAAAAATCATCAAAAGCCAGAACGCCAATAACAGTCATCCCCACCCCCCCTATCCCCC